GTAGAAGTGGACAAAGCTGTTTCCCACATACACATATGCAACCGATGTCACGAACAGTTTGAAACAGCTTTAGAACTTCAAAATCATCGAGTAAGTAGTATATTGTGATTGTTGTTGTGTACAGTATGGCAGGAAAACATCGATCATTGTGAGAAACGATCTTCTATGAACATTTTTCTAGTGTAGACGTGGCGCAATCTCTTCTACAACGCCGAAATCATCAGACAGCGTATCAGGTAAACTTGAAGTAGCTTTGGAGAAAACGAAGTGAAAACAGTTGTTCAAATCTCATCAATTTTTTAACACTATATGGTTGCTGTATATTAATGCGTTGACATTTCTATTATCTTATTATAGGTATTAAAATATTTAGTGGCTCAATTCATGTATGTATAGGTGATATCACACAGCAAGAGGTAAAAACATTTGTTTTTCTTTCGGTTCTCATTCCACTTTGTTCATAGATGGATGCCATTGTTGTCATTTCAACAGCTGCTCGTTTACGAGACTCTGTTCTTCAACAAGCAGGAGATAAAATTAAAAAGCTCTATACAGAACAAGCGCAAACTCTACCAGATACATCTTTTAGTACAAGCAATGGACGTTTACCGTGCAAAAAGATATTCTTTATTCCGGCACCAAAATTATCTAAAAGTGCTGATAAGTGGGTATTTCGAACTATTGTTTCTGAAGCTATACAATTGATAGTAAATGAAAAGACAATCATTATTCGACCAATCGTATTTCCAGCTGTTGGTTGTGGTCTAAATGGTTGCGATGCGACATTCGTCGCAGAAACATTAATGAGAGCTGTTAGTTATGAACTAGAACAACGACCAAACTTGCCTCTCTCTGTTTATTTTGTAATTCAATCAAAAGAGACTATCGTTTTCAACAAGTTTGAAGAACAATTAAAGCTGATAAAATCTCCTCCAAGATCATCTACACGTCTCCCAGTTGTACCTCGAAAACCTCCACGAAAGGATACTGGGCCTGCTTTTGAACGAAGAATACTAGAGCCGTCTAGCAACATATTTAAAGAAGTTCTTCAAATATTTCAATCGAGTATGTCTAATCAATCTTATAAAGAAGTTATAAGTATTGAAAACATTCGAAATAAACGTTGGTATAGACAATATTTGGCAGAACGAGATGATTTCAATGATCGACTTAAACAAAATACGGAAAAACGTTTATTTCACGGATGCTCAGAGAAAGCAGCTGATAGTATTATGAAAGAGTTTTTCAATCGAGGCTTTGCCGGTGCTAACGGTATGTGTACATCGACAGGAACTGATTTTTCTTTTATTATTCACTTTTCTTTTTGCTATTAGGAACTGCTTATGGTCAAGGATGCTATTTTTCATCGAATGCAAGTTATAGCCATAAATATGCGACACCGAATAACAAAGGCGAACGACGAATGTTTTTAGCACGAGTATTGGTTGGAAAGACAACGAAAGGTAATTCGTCTATGAAAATTTGTCCGCTTGGGTTCGATTCAACTACAGATGGTTCCCATATATTTGTCATTTATCGTGATAGTCAAGCATTTGGAGAATATCTAATCACTTATAGATGATCCGATTGAATCGTATTGTCAATCAAAATATATAGAAAAATATTGCACAAAACCGAGTGAATACAATTTTAATCTATCTATTTTTGTATTTGATTGAAGTATATCTGTGATTTTTATAAAAGATTGTCTACATAAGCTAATTTTCTTTTGTCAAAAATTACGATAATCTATAATGGCATTAATCAAATATTCGAATGAATTGAATCTTTGATGAAATATTTAACAAGCTTATTTAAAAAAAAACATAAACGATTTCTTTGATGATGATCCTTGAAAACTCTTTTTCCATAATGATCTATATTTAAAATCCATTTTAATCTAGAAAAGATTAATCATGTCGATGATACTGGTTGTTAACAAACAGAATATATATCGCTAATCCTTGCATCCAGGATAATAATATCATAATATCAAGTCTTAACATGTGTTTTTTGACAGAAATCATTCATTAAACTGATTCAATAAGATATATTTACCTTTCTCTTTGTTTCGATGAATATTTAAAGAGCAACTCTCGTTCAATTGATTATGTAAAAACCGAAAATGATAGTATTACTTTTAAATACATATGTTGGAAGTCGAAGTAGATCTGAATAAATATTATAAGTCGAGAGCAGGGGGGACATTGGAAGTTGAATGAGGAGACAATCGGAAGAAGAACGGTAAAGATGACAAGCTCTCATTGAAGAGGTTTTTGGATGATTGTTATATTCTCAGTGAATATCAATATCATGAATTCACCATTGACTTATTTTACCTTATTCCCTCAAAGCGTTTATCATCTGTTTCATAGGAATATAATTATCAGTATGCAATTGTTTGCGTCTTGTGTTTGCATCAATATGATCCTTACCTTTTCGATCCGTTGAAAATAAAGAATGCCCACGTATAACAAGCGATTTATTTAACAACAGAGGGATATTTCTATTACAAAAAAATAATCATAAAAAAATTTACAACATATGAAATTACGTTGTCAATTTATTGTCTGATATCATATTGTTTTTTGCCGCATAGAAGCTTCAGTGCACTCACTTCATATTGATTCTTTTGCTATTCGGATGTTCTAGATCGATACACTGTTGAATGAATGTAGTATAATAATCATCAAATCATTCATTCACCATAAGTTAATTCCATGGATATTTTACTTTAAATGAAGAATTTGACCACATTCGTAGCATAATGCATTAGAACTTTTTTTTTATTAAATCAAGGCTTCAAAGTGCTGATCCGATATTGTATCGTTGTGTTAGTCTAAAGTAAGGTCATAATATACATTAATGGTTTTGAACAAGATTGTTAATCGTCTTTAACAATGACCATAATAATTTTAATGATATTCTTAACACTTTTGTTTTTCTTTCCTATATTGTTCATCATAGTATAATTAAGTATATCGGCCAACGTAAAATTGAATACATATATCAAGACATTACAAGATTAATTTTAGTTGCTTCATCCGAATAACTCCATCAATACCGGATTATTTGAAAGTGTGAGTGAAAAAGAAATCAGATTTTAGTTTTAAGGAATTGTTCATTGAATGAAAGAAGGTATTATAATACAGAAAAAAAAGATAATGAAATGTATACAAAAAAAATAACAGTGGAGAAATGAAAAACTACAAATAATATAAAAAAAACCACAGAAAGCATTTACAACAAGTGGATGATAACAGGCATTTCCTTCTTTAAACCTACTTTTTAACTCATCAATTGCAAACTAGAAACTCAGTCATTATTCATATACTTACAGATTGAAACTTACCCACAGTTTTTGTTTCACGTTTCACGAAGAGCAGTAGCATTGATTTATACTTACCCTTACCCTCATCTTCGTCCACACTATTTTCTATCTTTCGAAGATTTTCTTTTTTGAGGCTTTCCAATGTTTTCCATCCCCTCATATGGAGCATCATAATTCCATTCGCGTAGTTCCTTGTCTTCATCGACATTTCTGCCCATAACATATGGTCGATGAACAGTTCCGTATGGGAATGTAACTCTCATCCAATATGATGGTTGATTTTGTACTCGTATCATAACAGCTTCTCCCCATGTTTTAGGTGGTGGTAAACCCGGAACAGTAAAACGTTTTATTTGGTCTTCTGGTAATGGGTCATCTGCCTTGTGAACTTTTGCAAGAACCTTTATACCTGCATTTTGTGCTGCAAGTACTCGTCTATTATCCACCGAGGTCAGTTCTTCATCAGGCATTTGTACTACATCAATAGGATCACCCTCCCATCCATCTGTTATCATTCTATTTTCTATTTCTTCTATGTGTTCTGGTTTATTCACATTATCTTGTGAGAATCGAATTACTTCTGGAGGCAGTTCTTCCTCCTCTTCTCTTTTCTCTCTACCACCTATCATTTCAGGATATCCACTCCTACTCGTTTCTTGTCTATATTCAGCATATTGCTGTGAATGTCGATGAGTGTATTGATATAAGTTCTCTCGCTCCTGTCTTATTACATTTTCATTGACTTTTCGTCCCAATGATTCATTGTAAGCTATCAATAAACAGTCGTTACCCCCATTCGTTTGTTTATATGTTTCAGTACCTCTAGCAGTATAAAAATGTCCAATACTTCCATCTTCACCTGGTTTATAATTTATTTCAGCTGTTTGTTTAAAAAATGCAGGTATCTTTCTGAGCCCTGCAGGTCTTATCACTTCTTTTTCACCAGTATCAACATTATAAACAACTATATTTCTTGATTCACTATTTGCTAACATTTTGATATCAGCACGACCTAAAGGCCTATCTTTATTTTCAATTTCTTCCGAAAAATCCTTCGGATTCTTAACATTATTTTGTAAATCATTTCGTTTTTCTTCATCTTGTTTTTCTTTCTCAGATTCAGCTTTCGGTGAAGGTGCTTCTACACTAACTTGACTATCTCTATTCTCATTTGATTTTCTTAATTGATCTATTTGATTGTTATTGTTATATGCTGAATCTACCATGGCCTTAACACCCATTGCTATCGCTGTACCAATCGCTGTTAATGTTTTACTAATGATTTGTCTTAATACTCTATCTAATTCTCTCAATAATCTACTTGTTATATATCCTTTTATCATATTAATCAATTTTTCTGTTCTCGCTTTAACAATTTCAACATTTGACTTGTTTTGATTAACATTTTTGTCAGTCTTTGTTTGATTAGAATTTTCAATTAAATTCGTCAAAGTAGTTATAACACTAGCTAAATTTAAAACAGATTGAACTGCACCAAAAATCTGATTAATTAAAAAAGTTGCTTTTACAGCCGCACCAATCATTTTTGCATATTTTGAACTTGAATTACTCAAAGCATCAGCAACATTCACATAGGAATTTTGTAAAGCAGAAACAACATGTTCTCGAATACTGTCGAACTGTTGTGGTAATAAGTGGTTACCAGATAATGCTCCTTCAAGATTTTTTTCCATTGTACTATATTCGTTTTCGGTTTCTTCTTTAGTTTTACCAGAAGAATAAATAGTTTCAACTTTAGTTTGTATTGAACTTGTTATAACTTTCAAAATTTGATCTTCAATTGTATTAAGAATCTTTGGTATAACACCATCTTTTACTTGTTCCATAATTTTTTCAGTTATGATATTCGTCAAAGTCGTAAGAGCAAACTGTTTCATTGCATTCTTAGCTATTTGAAAAAATAAGGCTGCTTTAGACACTGAACCTATTTTAGCAACTGTAGCACCTACAGATGCTAATTTTCCTATTCCTGCTGTCACTAACGAGATACTAAAGCTAATAGATTTTTGTATAGCCCAATCTCTCCAACTAAATTGTCCAGATAAACCTGCCATTGTCGCATAAACCATATCGGAAACACCTTCAGCAAGAAGAGCACCTCCTATATTGACTGCACCGAAAGCGATTAAAATTGTTCCTCCAATGACTTGAGCAACTCCTATCATTGCAACTGCAAAAGCATTCCAATCCCACCAAGATTTATCTTCTTGAATAATTAAAAATTTATCAAGACCAATACCTTGAAAAAATCTTAATTCATTTGGTACAGTTTCGACCTCTTGAAGATCAATAAATTCTTTGAAATGAGCTTTTAAATCACCTTCATATGATCGAATATCTCCTTGTAATCTTAATATTATTGGTTCAATTAAATTTTTATCATTTTTATATTCAGTTTTTTCGAAAATTTCATCTAATCGTTTGCTTAGATCATCACGATGATTACCATATTTAAATTGTGCAAGTCCACCGGATTTTAAAATATTTTTTTCTTTTAAAAATATATGAATTTTATTTCCTTCTTCTTCTCTTGTACCGTATGGTAAATCTGTTTGATATAAATATTTACTTTCTTCACGAATATATTCGAATAGTTCTTCTAAGAATCCTTTAAGGCCTTTATCCTTTTCATAACCATTATCATTGAACTTTATCTTCGAATATTTCGCATATTTACCATTAGATTTCAACAAATTTAAATCTATATCTTCGATTTTAACTCGTTTTGTTTGAATTAAAATTTTCTTTTGTTCGAGATAAACTTTAAAATTTTTCTTTTCAGAATTCTCTTCGAATACATCTAGATTGACATTAGTATGATCAATTTTCTCTTCTAAATCATTCCAAATATTTTCATAGGATGCTCCTAACTCATTTTTTATTTTATGCGTATCTAATATATAAACCTTTTCGTGTTTTCCTTGTACATTTAAAACTTCCCATATTTCATCATCATAACAAACAATATCTTGAAAATCGTTCTTTGTAAAACTACTTTTATTACTCTTTAATAAATCAACTAGCCTATCAGCAATTGAAGGATCAAGATTTTCTCGAATTATTTTTTCCATTTCTATCGTATTTCTTTTAAATGATTTTCTTATTTGATCTCCTTGAATAATTCCCTTATCAACTAAAAGATTGTATAATTTTTCTCCTTTTTCATAATTTTCCTTATCAAATTTTTCCTCTTGATTTACATGTAAAATAAAATCATAAGGTTCAACAGTTTCTCCAATAGCTTTCGTTAAATAATGTATCTGTGTTCCAATAACTTCTAATTTACTCTTTATTTGATCTTGATAGAAATTATCTTTTGATGAAACTTTTTGAAGAATCTCAGCGGTCGCTGATTGAGAAAGAATTTCAGCAATTTTAAGATTCGACATTAAATTTCGTTTCATCGATTCTAAACATTCTAAAGCTTTTTTTAACCTTCTTCTCGACTCTTTCTTAATATTGATCTCAGGTTTTAACTGGATTATACAAAATGCTATTCCTATATGTGAAAATCCTGAGATATCTCCGCAGGCGACGGCCTTTTCAAAATAACTCTTTGCTTCAGAATATTCATTTTCTGAAAGATAAACTTTTCCAATTTGAATTGCTTCTTCTGGTTTATCAATCAATTCAGATAAATTCGAAGTACGTAAAAGATTAGTAATATGATCAATAAACAAAGAATCATATTTTTCTAATAGAGCATTCTTTTGTTGAGGTGTTTCAATAACATCAATTTGATCTTTAGCTTCATCTAACCAAAATGCCCAACGATTTTTTAGAATATTTTCAAATGGTTCAATTAGTTTTTCTTTGATTTTTTCATTTTTACCCTCAAATATCCTTTTGAATTCATCTTTTGCAATAGTTTGTTTAAATTTATTGAATTTATCGAAAAGTTCTTCTTCAACTTCAAGACGAAGAATATTCTTAAGTTTTAATTCTGATAATCTCGCTGCTTCTTTATTATCTCGAGTAATTTTTTCTCTTTCTAAAATTACATCGGATAATTCTTCTAATTTCTTTTGTTTCTGATCTTTTGGATATTGACTAAGATCATACTGCGATTCATAAATATTCTTATCTACTTGTAAAATAAATTGTCCAGTACCTGCAGCTCCATTTCTTGCTGTTCGTCCAAAAGCTTGTTCTTCTATTCGAATATTATCCGGTAGATAACATAAAACAACATGCATTCCCCCTTCACAATTAACTTCTGAATCGACATGAATATCAGTTCCTCGACCACCTTTATTCGTTGCTATGATAATATCACCTTTAGTCGCCGGTTTCTTTCGAAATCGATCTTCAACATTATCTCCATCTCGTCTATATTTTTCAATCGTATGTGATGAAACACCATGTCGAATAAGTTCATTCCAGATATTTTCTGTTGATTCAACATTTTCACAGATAATTAAAACAGGTCGTTTACTAACTTGTTTAATACTTTCTTTAGCGATAAGATTAAGCCAATCGCTATATTCAAATGATACTTTACTAGGAAGTTGATAGAAACATTTCTTTTTCGATGTTGGAAGTTCAACAAATTGAACATGATATAAATCTGATAGAAAACTTTGAGAATTTTCTGAACCTAATGTTCCTGTTAAACCATAGAGATAATTATTATATCTTTGAAAAAATGCCTTATTAGAAATAAAAACGGCTTTTAAACTTTCAACAGATAACTTTCGTCGATATTTTAATTCTAAAAATTGTGCTAAACCATGACTCCAACGTGTTGAATATTGTTCAACACCAGTATCTTTATCAAGAACAATAATAGTCTTTTGCTTCTGATTCTTTTGTTCATCTGTTTTAGCTATATCTAAAACGAAATGATCATCTTCACGCATGATACGTGCTTGAAATGCACTATCAATCCATCGTTCAAGTTTTTGATTAACAAATTTCTCCATATAAACAGGTACGAATATATTTCTATTTTCAATATTTTGTTTTATAAAAATCGAAATATCCTTTATATTTTCTGACATATCATCTAAATTTTTAATTTCAGTTCGAAGTACTGCTGCCCAAATATTAATAAATAATGTTTCAAGATGTTTCAAACTATGAATTTCATGTGAAAGATAAAGAACATGTCGAGCACGATCTAAACACATATTATCAACTTCATCAATAATTAAACATCTATTTCGTTTTTTATATTGATCACTAAAGATTTTCTTATTATTAAATTCATCTTCTAAAATATCTTTTTGAAATCCTCCAACTTCTCCATAGACAATATTACCTTGTGGAGTCTTTAGATCTGGTCGATACGCTTGATGATTAACTTCATCATCATCATTACATATATGTCCACTTTCAAGTTTTAATAATTGAAAAAATGAATGACATTTTTGTTCGCCTTCAATTGCTAAATCTCGATTACTAGAAACAACATCGACTGCATGTCCACATAATGCTAAAAATGCTGCTGTAATACCTACAGTAAGAGTTTTTCCTTCACCCGTTCGAATCTGTTCGAGAAGTCCTTTATCAGTACTATGAATAAAAAGTAATAGCGCAACGATTTGAGTATCTTTTGGAAATTGTGGTTTATTAGCTATTGACCAAGCACAACAAATCAATTGAAGAATTTCATCAAGATGAGAATAAACATATTGTGATGGAGCATCTTGATAATCTTTAAGATTAAAGATATTCTGAATTTCTTGTTTAATTTGTGATGTATCACATTCGTTTGAATCGATTCTTCTCCAAGCTTTATCACGAATTACGGTCGCTTTGATCGCGATTTGATCAAGAATGTCTGCTTTTATAACATTTGTTTTATTTTTCTGTTCATCTTTTATTTGACGAATAATGTCGGCTGCTTTCGCATCCGATTGATTAACAACGATACGATTTGATAAAATAAGTTTATCTATTTCTTCTGACCAATTTGAATAATCAACTTCTAAAACAATTTTATTTCCTTCTTCAAATGATATTCGTTTAAAATGAATTTTTTCTAATAAATTATTTAATATATCAAGATTTTTAACATCTTCCTTGCCTATTTTATTCGAAACTGTCTGAAAAAACTCCATAAATCTATTATTATTTTCAATAGTCAATTGTACTCGAATACGATTTAAAAATAATAACGTTCTTTCATCAAATTCAATATTAATCTTACTCATTTCTCTACGAAAAATTTGTGAAAATTCTATTTCATATAAAAGAGTATCCCAAACAGTTAATGAAGCATCGGATAATTGATCTAAATTCTTTTTACTTGGACTTACAACATGTAACAATTCAATAATACGAAAGAATTTTTCTTCCTTCAGCTTTTGATAATTCGGCATTGTATCCGAATTCATTTGATCGATATATTGACTAAAAAACATATTATTAAATAGTAATAAAACTTTCTCATTGACTCCCATTAATACATTACGAAGTTGTTCGATTTGATTATCATGTTGTGAATAGATTAAACAAAATTTTTCAATAATATGTTCGACTAACAATACTTTTAACCAATCTTGTTGGGATGTAGTTGATAATCTTTCAATCGCGATTCTTAAGTCTTCAAAACAACATAAACAATCGTGTATTTTTTTAAACTCATCGATTTCTATAGAAAGTTTTCCGTCGATTGTAAATCGATTATTCAATGTTTGAATTAAATTATTAAAATTCAATACTTCATATGGATTTTTCTTATCAAATGTAGAATTACTGCCTAATATATATCCATTTAATTGCTTAAAATCGAATTTATCCTCTACAACAAACGTATGGAATTTCTTTAGACTATTTTCTTGTATTGTATGTATTTTCTCAAAGATTAATTTTTCAATTTTATCATTATTTTTAATACAATTATATAACTGATCATTATCTTCTTGAAAATATTGAGGAAAATAAATAACAACTTCTAACCATTTTGCATTTGAATTCTTTTCAAATAATTTTTTAATAAACTTTTCAATATAAATCATTTTCATTTCTTCATAAATCGTTTTTGTTGATACTTTTAAATATTCATCTGTTTTCGAATTTAACTTTTCAACTATCGACTTTAATCGATCGATATGTATCAAATCGTTCTTATACAATTCACATTTCTCCGCTAATTGATAATTTGAAAGCCTATCAAATAACCATACTAAAAACTCAACAAATTTATCATCAATCAATCCTAATGGTTGATTGGTTTTCAACATCGTATCAAATAGATTTACAATATAAAGTGCAAATTGAATATTAGCTTCATTTGGATAACAACTCTCTTGATGAACTTTAGTTATAAGACTCATCAAATTCAAGAAGTTTTTCCATTGAATTCTTGATTTTTTACAATATTCATAGAAATTTTCGTATATTTGTTTAATTACTTTGGATTTTTCATCGCATTCTTTATATAAAAACGTTAATATTATGTCATAATCTTTGATTTTCTCTTCTATAGTATAATTCGTAGTGTTCATGTGTTTACTAATAACAGATTTCAAATGATTATTAAATATATGATAAGATTCTATTAACTGATATAGTACTTTTGCTTTTACTTCGATTAAATCCGATGAATTTTCGAAGGTATCAATCAGATTATTGAGAAAATTATCGATTTTTTCTTTCGGACTATATTCGATTAAACTCAAAATATCGATAAACGAATCGTCAATACTCTTGTTTGGAAATAAGTTTTCTATTTTCTTTTCAAGTGTTTGATTTATTTCAAAATTTATCTTCGATCTTCGATTGATTTCGCTTAGAATAAGACAGAAATTCAAATTATGTAATTTATTGGAATCAAACAATGGATTTAATCTTTTTGCGATCGTTCTACGCGTGTTCTCATCGATAGTTTCAATATTGAAGAATAATTGATCAAGTGTTTTCAACAGAATCATTTTCTCTTTATAAATAATCGTATCTTTCTTTTGTTTATCAATACATTCAATGATTTCTTTCAAATACTTAAGAGTTGTTTCTATATCTTGAGGGTACTGATTCAATATACTTTCGATTTCTTCTTTCTGATTAGGTAGAAGGTTGCTTTTTCGATCATCTAAAACTCTAAAGATTATTCTGATATCAAATTCATCTGATAAATAATTCCAAGTTTCATAACAAATTGATCTCAATTTGTCTAAATGATCGTTTGATAGACCGAAAAATTCTTTGGGTATTTCTATCGATATTAGTTTCGTTAAACTGATATAAAAGTTGAAAGCTTTATCCGCTTTTTTATTCTTATCAATTACTATTTCTTTAAATAAACGAATGATTTGATCTAAAAGCGAACAAATCGTTTCTGTAAACTTTTCTTTATTATCTCGAGTTGATTCAATATTCTTCTCATGTTCTATACTTTGAAATTTTGTTATTTTATAATCAAAAACGACTTGTATAAATTCAAGAACATTACTAATCGTTTCATCGATTTTTTTCTGATTTAAAATCGTTTTAATTACCGAAGAAATCGTTTGAATTGTTTCATATGAAAATCTATCTCGATTACTTATTGTCCAATTAAGAAATTCGATTATTTTATTTGGTTCAGAAATGCTATCACACGTTTCTATTTGTTGAAATATATTTTCTACTAATGATAGATCATATAACGTATTAAAAGCATCGATTTGTTGTTCAATTGTAAATATATTTTGTTTCTCTTCAAATGTTTTTCTTACTTGAAACGCAAATAATCGATTTAAATCATTTGATTGATATATTTCATCTAAATCTTTCTTCTTATTCGGACTAATTTTATTTATTCGCATGTTTTCAATACTAATAGAAAACTGAAAGATAATATCAGAGAGATATGATCGTGGATTATGAATAAGTATATATTCAATTTCAACGATTTTTTCAATTAATTTATCGAAATATTCTTCTTGGACATTTATCAAACTTAAATTATTATAAAAAATCAAAAGAAAATCATTGATAATTGTTAATTGATCGGGATTTGTCAATAAATTTTGTAACGCATCGTTTCTGTTTTCATTAAAGAATGAACTTTTAGAAAAAACTGTTAAGATTTCTAATAAATTCGAGACATTACAATCTAGATTAAAATTTTTAATAGATTCTATTAGTTCTGTTCGATTCTCATCATACAAAGTCGGATCAAAATCATACGCAAAAAATTCTTTTAATAAAAATGATGATTTTAGATTAAAATTAAGTTGTTTTATTTGAATATCGTCTGCTATTCGAAGAATTTGTAGAAGATCAATTAGATTTCTTTTGCCTTTTCTTACTCGATCATCTTCAGAAGATTTTTCAATACATTTCAATGTTTTTCCTATCCAAACTAGCCAATATTGTCTTGAAAATTCTCTATTAAAACCTTTGAAAAAATCGATTAACAAGTCCAATACATGACTATTTTCCGGCCATGATGTTTTCATTATTAAATCATCTATTTTTTCTTGTTGATTTCGAAGATATTCTAAAGCGACTAAACTATAATTCGATTGCTGTAAATTATAAAGATAATCGTAAGTAAAATTCGAAATTTTTTCTAAATCAATCTCTTCCGGTTTACTACATGTATCGATTAATTTCTCGAGAAAATCATGTCCAAGTCGAAAAAGATTTTCTTCATTAGGTTCTTCATTAAATTTATTTCTAAACTCAATCTTTTTATAATAGATGTTCGTTTGAAATCGTTTCCATTTTTGTTGATCCAAATCTTCCTTTAAAATTTCAATATTCTGTCGGGATAGAATTGTCTTCGAAAGATCTTCTTTTGGTGTTTCTATTAATATTTCTGCACGTCGTTGTGTAGTAGCAAAACGTTGATGAAATCGTTGTTCGTTTATAATTCGATTGATTGTACTTTTTAAACTTGCTATTTCGATACTTCGAATTTCTAAACCTGTTGCTAATTGACTGATATTGACTTTTTCCATTTCATTTTGTAATTGTTGATAAACAGCTTGATATTGTTTCTGATAATCACTATATTGAGTGAAGATATGTTGTGCTAATAGAATAATTCCAATATTCATTTGATTGGTATCGAGTTTTTCTCGTTGAAGTTTTTCATTTTCTTTACTTAGAATTTGAAGAAAATTTTCTTTTAGAATCAACAATTGTTTCGCATCATGTTCAATATCAGGTAAAGTTTGTACTGTATACGAAGGAATTTCTTCTAATTCAGCCATTTTTTCTATAAATTCTTTTAAACTTGAAGCTAACCAATGTTGATAAGATGCTACTTTTTTAGGATTTATAAATGGTTCGAAAAATTTCGATGATTGCTCGAAAACATCATGATGATTTATCCCATGAATTTGATGAACAACTTCTTGATTTTTATGTCGATTGAGTTTTTCAGAACCTCTGTGAGCTGTTTTATCGGGATAATTGCCTTTAAATCTATCATCAGTTTCATTGTATACCATGGGTAGCATAGAATAATCCTGCCAAATCTGGCTTTCGAAAGCATCATGTCTGTCATCGTGAGGAAGACGACCACCTTTTAAATTATCTATTCCTCGACTTGAAAGTAACGCTCGGCCAGGATTTATCCAATTACTTATACCTACATAATCAAGTCCATCTTTACCATGCTTTCCAGCTTCACCAGGTTTTCCCGTTTTACCATTTTGACTTGTTGAGTTTTCGAAAACAGCACGATGTTGAACGTCTGGACAATTGCCTTTCAGTGCAACAATTTTTACTGCTCCAGAATTACCATGTTCACCAGCAAAACCACCTGAGCCAGCATCGCCTCCACTGCTACCAGGTCGACCATCAGTGCCGAGACGTCGATGACGATGTGACCAACCCCAACCGAGCAATGCCCATGATTGTTCTAAACCTTTCTTCAAAGCGTCTTTGTCAGCATGTTTTCCATCAATACCATCTAAACCTGATGTTCCATTTCCACCATCTTGTCCGCTTCCTTCTTGTCCACCACGAACTGATACTTCGATTGAAGGTAAATAATTGGCGACAACATAAATATTCCCAGCACTTTTCCCATTTTTTCCATCCGATCCATCTTCTCCTTTATTTCCATTTCTATTTGCATCTGTTCCAATACTATTTTTAGCGGGTTTATCTTTCCAAACATCTTTCGCATTTTCACCATCAGTATACATTTCTAATGTCGTTATATTCTTAACTAATTCTTGACATGGACTAATAATAACAATATTTACTCCTGAATATTCTCGACTAGATAGATGAACGTCAATGTAGAGTTTATCGCAGTTAATAATTCGTATTTCATTATTTGAAGAAAAACAATCGGGATGTTTATCTTTAATATTTTTCAAAATTTGACTTAAAACACCAGATGTTGTTTTTATTTGAAAAATAACGTATTCATTTTGCTTGAAACTCTCGATTTCATACCAATTAACATATCCATTTAAAATTTTCTTTAAATTATTTACTTTTTCTTTAAAAATAGGCTTAAGAGTATGATTTGTCTCTTCAAAAACAGGTTTTATTATTCGAGCACATTCACAATTTTGTTTTTGTAAACTTTCAACTAGAGTTCTATACGTAAGAAAATTCTTATCATAATAATAATTTGAATCATTCAAGCTACGTAACGTCTCAATTATTAGATTTCTCATTCCTTGACTTTCTATAGCATCATATGTCGTTAGTAATTCATAGAGTTTTTTCTCAAAATTATTAAAAGCTACTAATGCGTCATAACGATAAGTTAATAAATTCGATATGAAGTTTTCTACTATATTGATAATACATTGTCGTAGACATCCACTAATTTCAGCACTACCTTTCTCATCTGCATCTCTAAGAAAACATTCGCATTCTTCTACTATATTATTCAATTCATTCTTATTAAACATACTGACAATGCTCTTTATATCATCAAAAGTTTTATTTGATTGAAGTCGATCAAGAATTTCTTTATGAATTTTACCATCCACAGAAAATACTTCTTGTTCAGGTAAATGATCATATTTTTCGTTAAGACATTGCAGAAATAATCTACTAAATTCTGGTAAAATCTTTGCTACTTTTGCGAATCGTTTTAACATCTTTGTTAAATCATCAAGTTTCTGTTGTAAATAAACAAAATGACTATGACTTTTGTTATTCAATTGTAATAAAAGATTATCAATAACTTCAGATGGTATCGTATTCGGAGAACAACGAAAAATTTTAATTATTTGTATATAAAAAGAAATTTTCTGATCATAATCGACATCTTCTAGATTCACTGAATTTAAAATAGATGAAGCACTACTCAGTAAATGGTTACTAGGTTTTTGATTTACCACAATATCTTTAATAGAATTAAGTAAATAGTGATGAAGATTTTGTTCGAAAACTTCCATTGAATTTAATGATTTATATCGAAATGAAACTAAACTATTCATATAACAATCTACTTCTTCCATCATTATTTGTCTCAGATGTGTTCCTACGTAATACGCAGTTCTCTCATCGTTCATTGGAATCGAATTACGGAATGAGCTAAATATATTTTTTACACTCTGTTTATCATCTTCAAATAGATTCTCGATACATTTTTCAATATCATCAAAATTAGAAATTTGTTGATAAATATCAATTCTTAATCTCTCATTAATAGCTGATAATTCCAATAACTCATAATTAAACGGTAAAAGACGTTTAAATATACATTGAAATGATTCAAACGATTCTTCTATTTGAATAAATCGTTCAATGAAACATTGAATTGTATCTAAACTTTGCTTAGCACATTGATTTGTCACTACAATATTTTCAATTTTACATTTTTGTAATTCATTTGTTAGATATCTGCATTCTAAAAGGAATTCATGTGCAGGAATAAAACTTTTTCGAGTTTCAAGATAATCTCCAAGAGAATTTAGAAAATTTTCATAACTTGTTGAATTCGCATCATTAGACTTTATCATCTGTTTTATTCGTTTTGTATAATCGTAATTTTTATCTACGATCGTTAATAAGATATTATGATGAAGTTTGTCTTCGAAATACTCGAAATTTTGAAGAAGTTTCTCTTGTAAAGATAATAGATCAAACGAACATTTCTTAAGAATTTCAAACATAATATCAACTATTGAATTAATTTCTAAGTATTCCTTTTTTCTCGGATCTTCAGTCGTATTTTCAAGATTTTCAAGCGTGTTAATACATTCTTTCAGTTCATCATTAGAAACTACTCCTTTATTTAAATCACTTATCTTTTCTAATATTTCATCAAATCTTTTAATAGTAGTAAATTCTTTCGATATCTCTTCAATACGAGTTTTCATTTCCTGACCTTGTAAAACAGAAGAAAAGATTTTATAGAGTAAACTTTTGAATTTTTCAATTATTTCACGAGTTTGTTCATCGAGAAAATTATCTTCTATATATTCTGAAATCGATAATTTCTCACTATTTCCAATGTACCATAATTTAATTTTCTCGATATTATTTTTATTTGAAAATTCTTGTTTAGAAAAATTTCTCTTCAAAAATGTCCAATAATTCCCATTTGCCGCCCATTGACAAGCCGTAGCATTGAAATAGGCATGTAATAAACTATTTTCTGACATAAACCTTTGCTTTGGACATTCAATAAAACGAACTTCATAAACACATTGATCTTTAACACCTGTAAACCATTCTAAGAATTTTTCATTTATCTTTTCATAAGTCGAATCTATTACATAGATGTATCGTAAATGAAAATCAAATTTATATTCTCGTCTACTTTCGACAACTAATGTGATATAATGTTTGTTGGATAGTTTTCCTATACAAATAAAATTTCGATCGAGATTACGTATGATCTGTTCTTTAAAATTGTGAGCATGTTTCGCTTTTCGTAAATCATAGATTACAATTTCTCTTTTCGATAAGCATTGGGGTTTGATGAAATGATATTGCGAAGAAAAAGACTTTGTGGATAAAAGTTCTTCATCGTTTCGAAATATTTTCGATAAATATTTCAGTATTTGATCTTCTTTAAATAGAAATTTTTTTGTTTTTTCTTTTTGTTCGATATCTTCTGGTGAAATATCTCTTAAGTATAAATCTATATTCTTCAATTCTTGTTTTTCATCAACAAAACCTTCGTAGATTCGACCAGAAGCGGTTTCTTTATACAAATACCAACGATCGGAATTCCGCATAAACTTCGGTATAAAATGATAACTACATTGAACTAATATAAGAAGATATCTTTTCTCAAAAGGATTTTCTTTTTCAAACTGAACATTTTCTTTCTGCCACTTTTTTACGCACTCATTCTTATCTGTTTGTATCGAACAAAAACGCCAATCGATTGTGTGAACACAATTAAACGAACGTTTTAAATCTTTAATTTGATCAAGATATGGAAGAATGTTAGAAAAAAATTCCTCTTCATCAATTTGATCATTTAAATTCTTAACGATGTTTTCCGACGAAATTGGAAATAAACTCAAAGGAAATTGATTACATATATGTTTATCAGATTTTTTCGCTAAATTGTTGTCTATTTCGAACGAAGAAGTAATTTGATTTCGACGTTTAATTTGTTCTTTGGAGAAATAAGAGAAGGCTTGTTCATATCGTTGCTCCAGTGGATAATTTCCAATAAAACTATACGCATCTTTTAATAATTGACAAAAACGAAGTATTTTCGTTGTCTTGCATTTCAAATTAAAAGCATTGTCTTTATCAACGGCGGACATCTCCAATACTTCACTTAAAACTTGATTATTAACTTTCTTCAAATAGATATGATTCAAAAATTTACTTAAGAATGATTTATTATCGATTTCTAATTGAAAAACTTCCGTTTTTCTATCTGGTAACGAAAACCAAGTTTCCCAATGATGCTCGTTTTTCTCTGGACTATAGATAAATAAAATCGATCGAGTATTTGATTTTTTACACATATCTTTCCATTTCTGAGCTTCTAATTGATAATCTACGACTTTTTCTGTTTTTTTCACTGAATAATATTCGATATCATCTTCTTGTGGTTGTGACAAAGCAACTTCACATTCTATAACTTGCCGTAGATTTACAATTAAACACTTCCGTAATTCATATTCATCGAGCTTATCTTTGAGATTTTCTTCGGATGAGCCGCGTAAAAACTCTAAATAATACTCTACTTGATCGATACAACCGATTTCTAAATTACATTCAACTAGTGCGCATAAAATTTCAATTAAAGTATTCGAATCTGTTTGATTTTGAAGGTTTACTTCAAGTTCTTTTCGTTTTCCTTTTAACGAATAATATTTCCTATTAATCGATACATGATTTTCAAGATCACAAACTGAATCGAGAAGATATTTCGCATCTTTTACGATATCGATATGATTAGTTCTGGGATTGTTCTGATCAAATTGATCTATACATTTCTTTAAAAATTCCCTTACTGATAATAAATTATCGTGAACAAGACCATGCCGATAATATTCATAGTTTACTAATGCTATATCATAGTAAAGCTTAGCGGTCAGATACTCATATCCTAATACAATTCCATTTTGTAAGCGATTTCTTAATACATGACAATATTCACTTATTTCTTCGGATGATTTTATAGCTTGTTGTTTGATTTGCGCAAGTCTTATTTTTTCTAACGAACAAATTTGATTACTCTGCATGACTTTTTCAAGTATAACTACAATAACACTAAGTTGTGCAATGCGTCTCGTAAGTTTCAAATTCTTACCTGACTATATTGCAACACAGAATTAAGTTGATAGCACCAATTTCAGTCTATAAAACGTTTTTTGAAACACGTTGAGTAATGTAATGTAGTCGACGAATTAATTGAACAGACGCATCTGAAAATAATCGATTCATGAATGTACATAATATACTGATCATCTGTTGCCGAAAATCTCTTTTCTACTTAATTAGTTGTCCGACTCGGAATGTCACAGTATCAATACTGTATTCATATCATTACATTCATTCTTCTAACCTGTTAAAAGTTCTTTAACAATATTCAGGAATTCCCTGAGTAATTGTATCATCTAATAATGATCGAACAGATGGCGTCTGATCAAACATATGTATCTAAATAGTCAGAACGATGCGCAAATTATTTTCATAGAGTATACACGTGATACTTTGCTTTTCTTAGAAGGGTATAAATTAAAAAAACAGTATTATAGATACTTTGCTTGCATAGCGGATATTTGCTCTTAGAAATGCTGTTTTCATCCGCCATTTATTATGAGATATCCATGATATACCAATCCTCTCATATAAACTAAATAGAAGAATGATAAAACTACGTATTTCATCATCCACATGACATGATGCTTCTAACCTTCAAAGCAAGCAATAAGAAAAAGAGAACAGACAAAAACATCGATGTGACCAGAGAAATCGTTTTATCATGTTTGAAGAAAGAGATGTCACTTAATATTGTGCAAAAGAATTATTGATAAAAAAAAATCTAAACAGAATATTTTCCTTGGATATAGTCTTACAACCAAAACGTCGACACATAAATTAAAATAAACATAGATAAGCATCTGAAAGAAAAACGTAATAATTTCTTTATATGACAGTATGATTGATGTAGTGATACATTTAGTTAATAAATTAGTTATTAGCTCGCGTCATCTATAATGATGATATTTTTATTGCTTCATGATTACTCTAATATATGGCTTTCTGTTCTGTTATTATTTATGCCGAATAGGAGGCTTACACGTATTTATCAAAATATTTGTTGAATGTTTCGCACGATACTTTTACCAGATGTTACCGTCAGTATGTTTTTTCTCATGATGATGATGTTCTACCTTCATTGTCCTATTTTTTATCTTTTTAATTCTTCTTTCATATTAGTTAATTATACAAATATATTTCAATTAGTCGCCTTTTTCTTTAAATATAACTCTCTTCCTATGCAAATGATCTATATTGTTTAATTTAGATTATCGAATTTTCATATCTGTGAGAGTGCGAGTTCAAGACAACTACTGGATTGGAGATTATCAAAATACGTCAAATTCATTAAACTTACTTCAAACAGGTGATTTAATTTCTTTTATTCGTATGATTTTCGACTATTCATTACCTCGAAGCAGTATATAAAACTAATTTGCTTTGTTTTAGATGTCCATTTCAAAAATACTTTTGGTTTAAGTTTTATGAAATCTGATCGTTATTTAATTATATAGTGACAATCAACTGTAAGTGTTTGAGAACTTCCAAATTCAGTTTTAAGTTATTCCTTCTGACATATTTCATAGTTGCGCGTAGATAATGTTTTCGAAGAAAAAACAAGATAAATCACTGGAGGAAAAGCCTAATATTCGAGATATAAGATCTGTTAGACCATTTAACAAGAATAAAGATGATCAGAGTAGTGATGATGATGGAGTCGATGTAGCTGATCTATCATGTATGCCTGATATTTCAGTTGTAAAACGAAAAGAAAAGAAAATCTATCAACATCTTTTACCAATAGATAATGGATTTTATGATGGAGCATTAGACGGAAATCTTTTGCGTGAAGGATTAGGTACATATAGTTTTAATAACGGTGAAGAGTACTATTCAGGTTTATGGAAAGATGATAAACCATGTGGATATGGTTATCAGTTTAAAGGTTACGGTTCGACTATATGTCATGGTGATTTTCATGATGGAAAACTTAAAGAAGGTTATGGAAAAGTTAAAAAAGATGATGGGTATGAATATAAAGGTACAATTAGAGATGACAACTTTCATGGTCTAGGAATTCTATCGATCAAAATAGCAGGTCTTAGAGATATGAATAATACATCTGTATATAAAGAGACTCTTAAAATTGTAGCTGAGTGGAATATGGGAAAAACAGATGTTGTTTATCTCGATGAAATTCAAGCATATTATATAGATCAACATAAAATTTTCTGTGAGAATCTATCGTCTATTCTTTCATCGAAGAATGAAAGTCTTCGAAAACAAAGACAATATTTTCAAATTTTAATTGATTTAGACGAGCGTTTTTTAGATCTTAAGTTATTATACGAAATAGGAGCACATCCTCAACTACCGAAAAAGTTAAAGTCATCAGCTGATCTATTGTATGTGCTAGATAATAGTTATAGAAATTTGAGCAAATATACCATAATTTCAGACACATTGGAATCTTATAATCAGTGCGTTAAAAGTATTTGCGAAAAGAGTTTACAAAGTTATGTACTAAAATTAGTTTCAATAGAAGATTTATATGAATCCAATCGTATTCAAGCGAAAGACATCTTTGATGAAAAATTAAGTTGTTTTACAAAGAAATCTCGATTACAAGATCTCAGTCAAATCCTTTCATTCAGTACATTAGTCATTGAGATGATTAAGAAATTTATAAGCTCTGCCAATGAAAGATTGACTCACGTTTCCTCGTCACATCGATCGGAATACATTGAAAGTCATACAAAACTAATAAAAGCTATTTGGACGGATTATCTCGAACTCGCTGATAGATCAGAAGATGAGAACGACGAAAGATATCATTTTTATATCGCCTGTTATGAAAATTTATTACAATTATCTTTCATAAACCCATCGCTGAGTGAACTCGAATCAGTGGACGATCCTAGACGTAAAATAGAATGGATTATTTATAAAGCGATGATATTTTCTTTAAATAATCTCAAACCTTGGAGAGCTATTAATCTGAACGTTTTATCATCTTATTTTGACGATAAATCCATACATGAAGATATGTTGATTAAAGAAATAGGAGATAGATTAATAATTCAAATTGTAATAGGTACAAAAGTTGAAATGATACAATTTTTCCAAAGAAATAAAAATGACGTGTCGGATATTTTTGAATCGATCATCGCCTATTATACGAATAATTTGTTAAATAGTGTTCATTCAAATTATCAAAGTAATATACAAGAAATTATTAAGATGAATGAATATTTTTTACAGATATCCGAAACAAAAAATGCTCTTGCTAGAGATACTATAGTAGATTTACAAGTCGAATCAATAAAAACATTTATTAAAATCCCCGGTAGTCTTTCGAAATATATTGATCATTTTCTAAGTTTTAATTCCGAGCTTTGTAGATTATCTGAACTTTTTAGTAACCTTTTCCCGACTACTATTAATACTGGATTTGATAAGATAGCATCAGAAATTGTATCTTCGATAGAAGATCTATTTAAGGTTACTCTTGCAAAAGATCGTAGTGTAACTACAAACACGGAAACTTCAGATGAGCTTGAGAGTGAATTGTTTGCTTTACAGGCAATAAACAATTTTTTGACAAATTTAGCTTCTTTAAATTTTTCTTGGATTGTCGAAAAAAGTCGAATCTCGTCATCCAGACAGAATCTATCAAGCTTTAGTTGGGTTTTCGGAAAAAGAGAAATCCCATCATGCGATAAGAATTTATTCAAACCTGTAGGAATTAAAGAGCTGTATCACGTAACAAATATCGAAGCAGCTAGCGCAAAAGTGTGCACGCCGTATTGTCATTATATGTTAGAAATAATTAGAGACTTACTTAATATTATTAACAGTAAGACATTGCCCGATCGATTCACTTCGTCCGAAAAAATTCGAATACGAGCGGAGTTAACTATGGGAATATCAAAATCGTTTGTATATTTATCCGATCAAATAAAGTATAATAGTTTAAAAAAATTTAAAGAAGAGTTTATTTCTATATTTAAATATACTATTAAAGATATCGAGTCTTACGAAGCATTTCATAGTAAATTAGAAAGAGTTGAACCATATTTTTTATATGATAGAAAGTTGAAAGAAATTACTGTTGATCAAGCTTTGAAGAGTTTTCAAAGTAAAAATAAAACTTTATCTGAATCTGAATCTAAGTTACTAAAAAAAGCTTTTTCGAGTTATGAAAAATGTTTTGGAAGTTATTCTCATCGTATCATTCATAAAAAATCTTTAACAGTTGAAGATGTAATCGAACATACGCGAAAGATCGCGCGTAAACCAGAATTTGAAAAGAAAACTATTCCAGAGATTATTGCTGGACTTTCAATTATACTTTCATTAAGAGTTTCAGATTTTATTGAGAAAAATCGTGAAAATAAATATGTTTTGAAAGATAAATTTAATAAAGATTGTTTCCTAAAACCACATTGTATTCAAATTCTCGGTCTGTTCATATTGCTTAACATGACTGTTGAAAATGAAGATTTTCCACCAAATCATCTTGCAGAAATCGTTACTGGACAGGGCAAATCTTGGGCATTAGCACTGTTAGCTGGATACTTTAGTTCAATCGGTTATCAAGTTACAGTTAGTTGTTATAGTGAATATTTAATGGAACGAGATAAGAAATCTTTTCGAAAGTATTTAGATCCGTTTAATTTTAATGATTCAGTTAAATATGAAACGTTTAAATCAATGTGCGAAGAACAACTTAGAATAAAAGATCAAAAACATAATTTACGAAGTATCATTTCAGACATTTTAAAAGGAGAAAGTCTTTCACCTGTAGATAGAAAAGAAAATGAGAAACAGAAATCTATTCTCTTAATTGATGAAGTTGATGTCTTTTTCTCAAATGAATTCGGTACTGTATATTCTCCCGGACTTCGTATTGAAAATAAATTCATAGCGAAAATTCAGAAAGATATTTGGAAAAATGTTGTTAATGGTAAAACTGATAAAAATCAAATACAAAAATCGGTTGAAAAAGAATTATGCAAAGTTTCTGATCAAGATAAATTGTTATCAAATTTATTCAACTCGGATTTATTAAATCAACACTTGGAATGTATGATAGCTGCTGCTATAGAAATTGATAAGAAAAATGAAAATGAATTACGAGAAAAATATAAAATTGAAGATAACATTATAAAAACAAAAGATATTAGTGGAAAATTTGTTCCTACCTTGTGCCATGGATATGAAACCAGTTTCTATTATCTTAAATTAATGTATACAAAACAAAATCATTTTAATGAAGCGGAATTAAATGAAGAGAATTTTGGATATTTATCAATTCCGTGTGGACTTCTTTCATATTCTGAACTTCCGAAAACTTATCATAGAATATTTGGTGTTAGTGGAAGTTTACAATGTTTATCGGATGCTGAACAATCATTATTGACTTATTATAAAATTCATCAAAGATCTTATTATCCATCATTTTTCGATGGTTCACGATTAAGATTTGATCCACGTTATGACTATCGTATTGTTGAATCAGAAGAAGATTGGTCTGAAAAAATTATTATTCATGCTCGAAGACATACTTCGGAAAATAGATCAGTTTTAATATTTTTCTATGATGAAACACAATTGAAGACGTTTTATCAATATTATTCAGGAGTTGATCCATTTTATGTTACACAAAATGAGATTTATGATGGACAAAAAATAAATAGTATTGATATAGAGAAAATTATAAAAGACCAATATGCTGGTCATCACGGTAAAATAACTTTATTGACGAAAGAATTCGGAAGAGGTGTAGATTTTCAGGCAGAAGCTAAAGTAAATGAAAACGGTGGTGTACATGTCATTCAAACATTTTTCTCTGAGAATATTAAAGAAGAGATTCAGATAAAAGGAAGAACAGCGAGAAAAGATGATCCAGGAAGTTATGAATTGATTCTGTACCTTGGACATTTACAAAATCCTAAATTAGCAAACATGAAAATACCGAAATTTAAAAATGTGACAAAAGATACACCGTATGATGAGTTAGACAGACAGAGGACAGAAAATGTTAACTTTTTTTGTCAAGAAAAGATTCAAACGATTAGAAACGACAGCAAAAATCATAAAAAAACACTATCATTTTTTCAGAGAGCAATTAGTGAATGTAACGATACTAATCGTAGTAAATTTATAGAAGAGATTATGAAATTACCATAACCAAGATGTTAATTTTATTGTATTGTATATTTTTCTGTAGTGTTTATTTTTTGCATTGTAAATAGTCTTTGCTCTGAATTTTTTATTGTAAATATTATTCCCGTTCTTTTACACCAACTTATCATTAATTTAAATCCAACATTGTTCAAACGGTTGAATCAATCATTATTGGTTAATTGTTAAATTCGCAAGCAAAATAATTTTCAATATGTACGTGTTGTTATTTGAATTTTCTTCTTTTCTTTCGAATCTCTTTTTTCACTTTTTATATATACGTCATTTTGATAGTCTTAAAAAATCTATTCAGAAGTTTATCATTAATTCAGATCTTTTAAAACTTTTTTAGTATTGCAGATCAAAACAAAATGCTTTTCACATCGGTACTTCGATGGTTTATGTTCTACTTTCTAATAAACAATGTATTTGGTAATGCCGAAGATATATTTGATATGTTCGGTGATACTCATACTCCAGTTACGAAAGAAGCTAAGGTAGATAAAGTTGAAATCAATCCAACTACAACAGTAACAATGAAGACTGTTGTTGATCATGTATGAGAAGATTATAATTATTTTCCTACTTCTTTTAATTAGCTCTATATTCTAGAAAAAGAATAGTGTACCTTCGGCATCATATGAAAATCAATATCGAACAACAATCATTGCTTATCGTAGTGTACTCGAAGATTGGACACAAAAGCTTCCGGTAAGAATTTTATTATATCATTTGAAATCATTTTGCTAAAAATTCAAACTATATTTAGTCCGAAGATGCTGGACTATATCGACTGATACTTCAATTATCTCCTGATGATATAGTTCGTCTTAAGAACTTTGCAAAGAATACAAAATATGACGAGATTTTAAAAGAAGTACATGCGGTATCAACACTTCTTCAGCGAAGTGCAATTAGAATTGAAGAACTTAAACCGTCACATTCTAAGTTAACACGGTTAGAATGGATACAATCAATAGATGGAAATAAAATAGTTTTAGTAAATATCGTTCAATTGATATTAAATGATTAACTTTTTTTATCTAATGTCTTGCTTTTATTTTAGTTTGTACTTGTACCGATTAGCATTGGATTAGTTATGTTTATTAGTATTCAAGCTCCTCATAACTTTCGACGATGGTTTACAAGTTTCTTGGTATTTGCATTTATGACTTCAGTTTTTCTAAATTGTTTGAGACTTTACATGGTTCGTTTATATTAATTTTGACCAATGACATATATATATATATATAGTAAATATACTCTATAGGACTCACTCGCGGAAGTCGATGCAACTCTTATTAAAACATTACCAGAACATTGCCTAAGTTATTCACATGGATTTTTCCATAATTTAAAAACTGCAATTTCTCGAACAGTTCAAGTTCCACATGATGATTGTGTAGAATATCAAAAAGCATTGCGCAGGTTACCTCATGCGGATGCAACGTTAATTAAGGTAATTTGTTTTTGTATTTATGACACTTATTTTAATGAAAGTTTCCTTAAGGGTATATCGCTTACTGTTACCGAATTTTTTACCACACCACTTGGTAAAATAGGCGAGGGCATATCTAAATTCTTTGGTGGTTTAATGCTTCATGTACCCATTGCAATGTTGCCAATAGTTTTTGGTTTCATTGGATTTTTTTTATTCTTATTCGTTATTACAAGGAAAGGTTATGGACTGTCAGCAATGTATGGACTAATTTCTTTCCATCCAGTTCATCCACCTGCTATTACAAAATCAGATAACGCTTTAGAATTAAAAGAAGAAGAATTAAAAGAATCGAAGAAAAAAATTGAATATTTACAACGCCAAATAGAACACTTGGAAAATGAAAAGCTTGCACTTAAAAGTAATGAAACTTCATCAAAGATCGATCAAAACTCCAACAAATATAAAAGAGCTCTTGAAAGTGAGCCTTCTCAATCAAGTCACAATGCTATTGTTCCTGAATCAGATAGTGACTCTTCTGACAATATAGGTGATTAATGGATAACTTTTATTGCTTCATGTATCCAACGTAGCTATACATGTAATATTTTATTATGTGAAGTGTTTTTTTTCTGCATAAATAAACCCGATGAACTTTATATAAACATAGGTTTTTTTCAGAGAAAAAGTGATCAGCTAATTATTTCCTCTTGATGCCGCTCGAATCATCAAGATGCGTTTATCATACACATGTAACTGAAAGGAAATTGGTTTTACGAGAACACTTGTCTCATCTATCTATGGATAAATGAGATATCAGACAAAGTAACTGAAGCAAAAGAGCTACTCAGGTCGATGAGGGTGTGGGTGTGGATGAGTGCGTGTAGGTGTGAGTGTTCATGAAGGTGCACGTCTGCGCGTTGATGTGGGTGAATGGCTCTCGAGACTGGGTCACTCTCTTTTCTTCACTAAGATCTAGATCCACATCCACACTCACACCCTAGAAAGAACTAATACAAAAAGCGTTTCTCCCTAGCTTTGGGAGACTTTCTTCCTGAACTTCTCCTGCCAAAAATATCGAACGAAAGCTCTGCAACCGATTTCTGATGATCTGAACAGACAAACATCTTTGTTTTTTACAGAAAGAAATATTCTTTTTATATTACGCAAATAAAAAATGGTTGTAGGAAACTGTTTTCGACCGAAGTTCGTTTATTTTCAAGTAAACAAGTTGGATAAAATAAGAAAGTTAGTTTATTTCAACGTATAGTGGTATAGGAATTTAGCGGTATAACATTGCTCAATCAAAAGTACCAATCCGTTCGCGTCTCTGTTTTGCAACCCGACGACGTTGACGTTCAACTTTTAAGCGTTCAACGCGTAAATGTTCTTCCATTATATGATATCCAGAACTATTTGCTAATTCTGCAGGTGAATATTGAGCTTTAAATAGACCCGTAGTTTTCTGATCCAGTAGTTCTATCATTTTGATTAACACAGATTCCTCTAATACGGACATTAGATTAATTAATTCCAATGGTTTTGAATATAATAATACAAGAGCCGCAATAATTTCGCCGTTAGCAGCAGCATAATGAAATGAATTCCATCCCCATTTAAACGTACCATTACTTTGTCGGAAATCTCTTTCTTTTACTTCTCTACGAGTTAAAACTCGATTTATAGAAAGTGCATCTTCAAGATAATGTAATATTGATGGAATATGTCCTACCCAGTGAAAAATGACCATGAAAAAAAACGGTAGAAAACGCATTCGTAAAAACATGGAAACTGGTCCTGCATTAGGAAAACGCTTTCTGCAGTTTAACGAAAGCATTCATTAATGGCAAAAAAACTTTTATTATTTAGTGGAACGCATTCTTTGCCGTTCCATATTATTATAGAACGCTTTCTTCTCGATTCAAAAATCGTTCTTCGACTGATCAGAAAGCGTTATAGCCCGTTCTAAAACCTACTGAAATGAGTTTTCTATCATTCTTTCTTGGAACGATTAGAATTGGATTCCATTAAAATGAGATCGTTTTCTTTAACGTTCCTTATAAAAACGTCTGCGAACGAATTCTTTGAACTGATAAATGCATTCCAGGTAACCAAATATTATCCCTGACAAGAGTAGAATGAATCCGTCGCCGTTCTCTAAATTATGGAACACTTTCATCTAAATTTAACGCCAGTTTTGGTTCAAAACTGCCTATGCTGAAGTACGATATATTAAAATTAACATAAAAAATGGAAGAACATTCGATAGGTTGTACTTCCCAGCAGACAATCTCAATTTTCAAAAAAAATATTTCATGTCATAATTTCTATAGTTTAAGCTACAAAAAATCTGAGCATGCCATTGGATAGAGCTCGTAAAGTTGCATTGGAAGAGGTCTGTCGACGAATCTTGTACTTACTTCTCTTTGAAGATTATTGTAGAGAATGTGCATGTAGATGATAATTATCGGGAACGCTTTCCAGAAAAATAAACGTTCGTTTTTTCTTGAAAAAAAGCGTTCCAGAAACAGTAGAATGTGTTCTTGGCCGTTCCAGAAACAGTGGAATGTGTTCTTGACCGTTCCATGTTGGAACACGTTCCAAATTTTGTGGAACGCTTTTTTTTCTTAAAAAAAGCTGACTTTTTTTTTGGAACGTGTTCTATACCGTTTTTTTTCATGGTCATTTTTCACTGGGTAGTCCTGCAGCTAATGATAAAGAACGATGATTAGAATATGTATTTAATCTAGGATATTGAAGGCGATCTTTACAAGGCCATCGATGGCTTTCAAATAATGTTTCTAGTAGACCAGGTATATTTTCGTGATGTATATTGAAATCATTAACAGAAAATAATGCGTCGATGTTATAGTATGCTTCAGGTTCACGCATAGGGCGAGTAGGGTAATATGAAACTCTTTTTGGTGGAGGATGAATTCCCACCAATTGTGGAGGAAGATTAGAACGGGTTAGTAACTGAATACATAATTTATTAAATGAATCATTTGTATTATCCATTTCTGTAATTTTATTCCATGCAGCTTGCCATAATAATGATAACGTTGTAGGATCAGTAGTATCCATTGCAACGGTTATATCTATATTTGGTGATATTCGAATATATTGTTGACGCAATTCACTCCTACAATAGTCTGCGGGATTATTATATCCTACAACTTCATTTATTTCTGCTGCATTATATATAAAACCAAGTACACCACGAATCTTTGGAAGAGCTGTTGGGGCTGCATTTGAATTTCCCAATGAAAGTAGAAAAATCTTATCTTTAGGAATCTGACGAACTGTTGTCGCCCATTTTAATGCAATATAATCGGGACGATTAAATCGATAGCCACCATCATAAAATGTATATGCAATTCCATTGATATCAAGCGTTTTATGTGGAAAAAAAGGTGCTCCAGCTGATGTACAACGAACTACATCTCTCAATAAAGTATTACATGAATGTCGAAGTGCAAATATATTATCCGGTTCATGTGGATTGTAAAAATATAAACCAGTTTTTCTAGGCGAATTTGCATGATTTATAAATAAAGCAGGTCCTTGTTTATGAATTTCAGTTGGAATTATTAAATCATGACTACCACAATCTGATAAACGTTCACTTGGTAATTGTGCTTTCAATACTTCCCCAATTCCATTCGACGAATATTTTGAATGTCGGATCAGCCATAGTAGACGTTTTTTAAATATTTTAAATCGACGTGGGCCTATATATATACTTAATAGATCTTTTGCTTTCATTGGTCTTTGTTTAGCTAATCCACATGCCAATATCCCTCCGGTTGAAGTGCCAGCAAAACAATTAAATAATTCGCCAATATATTTACCAGTTCGTCGTTCAATTTCCATTAAAATAATTGCTTCAACAATACCTCGAATACCACCTCCATCAAGAGATAATATATTATAATACCCAGGTGGAGCAGGGTCCAATGTTGGTAATATTTCTGGCGCACGTATTTCATCTGGACCAGAGTGATGTAGAACATTAGAATTTTTATCTAAATTGGGAATACTTGAAGCAGATGAACTATTGGTTTCATGCTCATTTTGCCGTTGATGCAATGTTGGAATGGCATCCGATGGATTTGCTAGTGATCTGGTATGTGCATTAAGCGTTGGCAGTCGATTATCTTGTTGCATATATGAATTCCTTGATTTGCTGTTATTTTCATTGGAATCATCGTATTTAATGACACTTTCGATATAATTTGACAAAGTTTCATTATTGAATGAAAATGGTGCTTGTTTACAAGACATTTGTAATGTTTTTAAAAACGTTTCCAAATTTGTTAAAATTTGCAAAAGTTCTGTACTTTGTAATTCATCAATATTTCTTTTTATTTTTACAGTTGCTAATGCATCATAGTAACATTTAAATGTAACATCAAGTAGTTTTTCATCATATTTGATAGAACATGTTCCAATTAATATATTTAAATTTTGAAAATAATCACTCAAATATTCTAACGACGATCAATATTCACGATCGTTATTGCTCTGTTCAATTGAATAAAGTAAATGTTTTTGTAAATATTTATTAACTTTCAAGTAAAGATTCAAATTTCGATTCTGTTGTAAAATCATCAGAAATTATTTTATCTTTTTGCGATGATACTGATTTATTAATATTTATCATATAATTTGCATCTAGTAAAGCTGTAAATGCAGCTTCAAATTGTCCAATACTTGTACATAAAAATGATCGAATTAATAAATATTCAATTCGTTGTTGTTTATTCAGAATTGATGCATTGATATCATTCATATGTTTAGATTTTTCTTTTAGTTCTTTGTAATAACAATTGTCGACAATATTGGAATTATTTAAAAGTTCTAAATCAACATTAACACCATTCCAATCATCAATTTTACTTCGAAAATTTGCACGTGCCAAATGAAGAAATGAATTTTTAAATTGTCGTTGCTGTTCAGTAATTTCCATTGCATTATGAAATGAATCCTCCATTAGACTTGAAATTGAACTCATCATACCACTTCCGAATGTTCCTATAGATACTTTATATAAATCAAATAATTCTGACGAACGATTTTGTGCAATTAACACAGCAGCCGATGATGAAAATTCAAGAGTAAAATTATTATCAACAAGATTATCGATATTAAGGGTTTCATCGGTACATTCAGTAATAATATATAATAGACGATCAGTTTCATACTTATTTATTTTATTTAACGATTCTTTAATTTCAGTTGAATGTATGGGTGAATCTTTCGATGAATCGATTTTCACAGTTCTTGGATCCGAAGAAGTAATAAATGCCTTAGCAAGATTAAAACTATGATGATAAAGAGGATGTGAACTTGATAATGTTGGATTGATAATTAAGAAAAAAACATAGTATGTTAAAGCATTATTAAGTTTTTTATCCCATTCATTGTCTATTGATCCTGAATCAAGATAAAGTTTTGATATCGATACAGTTTTCTTCAAATATTGTGCGTGTCGACTCATTTGAAATTCTTTCTCTTTATCTATGTTAAATAATGTACATTTAACATCGAATGAATCAGTAGGTCGATTGTTCAGCGTGAAAATGAACATATAATTCATTAAACAAGATGATGTTGGATAGAAAAAACGGGTTAATAATGCTAGAAATCTTGAAAATATCATTTGAATCTATTATTTTTGTGACCAGTTCGTTTTCCACGCTCTTCGAAACTTCTTTGCTATATCCTTGTATTTCATTCATTATAGATTTTTCTAAAACACCACTACATTTAGTAAAAATATTCTTCATAACAAGATTGAAGTCCTGCATTCTTTGAATGTAATGCTGTTGATGCATGATTGGTTCGTTCACAGTATTATAAGAAGCGCCATCATCCGTCGACGATTGAATAGGCAGCTTTATACCAGTATAAAATGAAAATCTTTCCATGATTAAGTCAAAGAATTTGATATTTTTATAATAATTATTATCGTTAGGAATTGATGGATAATTATCTTTAGAAAAATTTTCGCGTTTTGTTAGTGACAAACGTTGTTTATCCAACAAATCTGATGCATAACGAGTTTTAATTAAACTAGCGACTACGTTGGTATCTTCGTTACCGTATCTTGAAAAATATGAATCACCCAAAGACATATTATGAATTTTGAAAATGTTGGGATTGCTGAACGATAGTTAATTGTATCAATGGTTAGAAATGCAATTCACTTGCAATATATTATACTACAACAAAACATCATCTATAGACTCTACCCGAAAAAACATAATTCCTCCTCCTCCCCCGATTAACTATCATGAAGATCTTATGCGAATTGTAAACTATTAGAATCGACTCTCTGATCTAAATATTATTTCAGTATAAATGTGTCTTAACAGTTGGATTGGATAATTACTTGGGGATGGGGTTTGGGTGCGGGTGTGAGTGTGGCTGTGTCTCTGTATGTATTGTGACTGTGATACTCACACCTACATCCAGACCCTCACCCACATTTACACCTACATCATCAAAGTAAAGTGGATCAATCGAGTAATTAGAACCAAATAGTATTTTACGTAGTACTAAAACTGTATTAAAATGCTCTTTTTTAGATTTAATATCTTCTCGCAATGTGTTCATCTATAAGGAGGGCAATTACTCTTTATCTGAGGATAGAATGGGAAAAAACAAGTCTTTTTGTGAGAATACGTACAAAAAACAAAGTGCGTTCAATGCTACTAAAGCGAAGAAAATCAAACTGCCGTTTCGATGGCTAGAATAGTGATAGTATCGACTGTCTGATGATAAAGAAAAGCGAGGAGAAAAAAATGCTTTGCAGTGCCTATAAGTGTACTGGCGATGATAAAAAAGAGGGTGGGTGTGAGTGTTATTTCTGAGATACCCACACCCTCCTCTAATGCTCTATAGGTATTCTACGGGTTTTCTAACACCTGATCATAGAATGCCTCGAAATGTTAAATCTGATAAACTATTGAAATATGTTCCATTGAATTTATGAAAACCGCACAAATATTGGAATGGTGCTTGTCCGATACCTATGCACTGAGCCAATTTTCGAGAGAATGCTTAACTGAGAGTCACTAGGGCGTACGCCATCTAGCTCGTTCAGGCAGCTTTAGTCAAGAATGATTCTCTTCAGTGTCTTTGAACCTTTGAGTATTCCTCTTTTTGTTTAATTTATTCCGAAGTTTTCGTGTAACTAATTATATATGAGACAATAATTAATAATATATTGTTTGAGTGAGAAAATAATGGTGAATGGAAGAAGATCTTTCTTTGAAGAAATCGATCACTCATTTATATGCTATTGCAAATTTTCACATGATCGACGAGACGAGATTAATGGATAATAAAAATGCCGAGACAGAACCTAACACAGCTAACTTTTGTAAAACGTGGGACGGGATAAGATAAAGAAAAAAATTATGGCGGGACACAGACCGGGACGACGCATTAAAACCTTATCCCGTCGATCTCTAATCCATAACTATTACATCGAACAACTGCATAAACGACAGTAATTATTCTTCATTATTATTAATACCAAAGGTTTCTTGTTCTTCATGAAATTTTTAATTAACTAGTTCATTAGAAACTCGATTACCAATCGATAAAATTTCGCTTCTTTTCCTTTACGTTGAAATCTCAAGTAAAAATCAAACACAACTTACACTTAATCGATTTTACCATTATCTTTACGACTCTTATGATACATTTTTAAAGATTATATATTATTAAGATTACTCTCTTTACTTTCAATATCAGTACGATATAAACTAAAACTTCATGACAAATTATTTTTATAATATACTTATTCAGAATTTCCCGTTACTTTTCCTCTATATAATTGAACTATTCTGATGAAAAACTCCATTTCTTAACTAATTAATTAATTCATTCTTCAAAAATCTAACCTTATTTTTTTGTGATTTGATAATACGATATAAAATAAATATCAATTAAAATTCAACTTAGATATAATGTTTTTTTCAAATATATGAGTATAATCGAGATGCGAATAATAATAATATATCAAAAATGCCGTCGTTATTTATCGGTTCTCTGGATTTGTACTTTGATTCTGTATACTATAGTTTGTGCTGAGAAAAAAATATTCGAGATAAGAATAGTTTCTATTAGCATAAGCTTGGAAGATATCATTTTCGTTTGTCTTGAATATTTTTCTCTCTCCGTTTGCTTATCATAAGAGAAAAATAGAGTGTAAGTATTAAAAAAAAGAGAAAAAAAAATCTCTTTAGAGAAGGATTATCTCTAAAAAATGATCATTAGAATAGTAAAGGTCAGATAAGAATTAGTACAATAAAAGAATATTATGACTGTCTGAGAAAAAAGAAATATTTTTAGTTATTTATTTCGAGATCGTTTAATTTGAATTTATTAATTTGCAAATCTTATATCGAAAGGTGTCTTTCAAACATTATTTTCAAAAAATCTTTTTGTGATGCCACTCCAAACATAGATCATTTTTGTAAATCTATCTAGTTTTTTCAGATAAGTGATCTAATAAAATATTTTATTTGAATTGATTGATCATACCACCCTTACCATCTTGAGGGTGTGAGTGTGAATGTGGGTGTGAGAGTGTGGGTGTGGGTGTGGGTGTGGATGAAGGTGGGTAAGTGAATGTGACTGTGCGTGTGAATATTATACCCACACCCACCCCAAAGCCACACCCACACCCTCAAGAGAGTGAGTGGGTGGATGGATGGGTGTGTGTATAGATAAAGATACAACAACAACAACACCCACATTCATACCCACTCACCCACACCTACACCCCAAATATAATTTCATTAAAAACACTTTGTTCAACACAAAATCATCTGGAGATGGGCGAGTGTCTTTCGCTTACTCATGCATCCCCATTATTCTAACAACCACATCTATATTCACACCCATATCCCACTCTCACATACACCCTTTACGAAAAAACGATTATTGATAGAACTTTATTTTCTTTTTTCTGATGATTACACATCAATCATTAGCATACTAAGTGATTAATTCAATTAGATAATGTATAGGACACAAATTAATCTATATACACTACTCTTTATCATTCAAGACCTTGTCCAATGCAATACAACAATCAATACAATTTGAACAAGATTAGTTATTCTGTTCTTATTTTTCCGACTTATTTTCTTTTTTAGATTCGTTTTCAACATGTTTGTTAAAATAACAATCGACGACTTCGGATGTTACAGTTATTTTTTTAATTTATAGAGGATATTCTAATATTTTGTGTTAGCAACGTAAGTATGTTTGTAAAAACCTTTTATACATATATATGTATATTTTGTATGTGTATTGTCACAGCGGTCGGCTATGCCCATTCCATTTTAATTACTTACAGAGATGTTCACTGTACGCGCGAGTAAGTAAAAATACAGTTATTTCTCTCTTGCATAAAGAAAATATTTGTTCATTTAGAATAACAATTATAATTTCTGTTTTACAATTTCAATCCACTCTTTTGTAGTTTTAAGATGCGGATGATTTGGTGGTAATGAAACATTGCGAATGTCAAGAGCACGTTGAAAATATGAGAGTGCTTTCGAATATTCTTCCATGTTATGGTACAGACTACCGAGATTGTTGTACGATTCGGCCAAATCAGGATGACTTGCAGGTAGGGTTTTTCCTTGAATGCCAAGTACTTTTTCGTAGAATGAAAGTGCTTTCGAGTACTCTCCCATGTTCTTATACACCTTACCAGTGTTGTTGTAGGAAATAGCCAACGAAGGATGATTTTTAGGAAGAGTTGTTTCTTGAATTCCAAGTGCTTTTTCATGAAACGAAAGTGCTTTCGAGTACTCTCCTATGTTATAATACACAATACCAATGTTGTTGTACGATTGAGCGAAATCAGGATGATTTATAGGAA